TAGGATGCCAAGATATTTAACATGATCTTCGCACTGAAGCGTGGTAGGAATTTGAGTACACTTATCGATCATTTCAATGTTAACCGAGTAGTTCAACTTACGTTGATATGGATGAAAGATAACATAGTTTGACTTTTTAGCATTGAGCGTTACCTTATTTGCATTGAGCCAGTCGGAGACTTTGGCACTTGTCGGTTGTCGGTTAAAATTCAGTAACTTTGTCGGTAGTCGGTTAAACGTTTTGATTTTTGTCGGTCGTCGGAAAATCTCAGTGAATAAGTAAAAACGCTTGTTGATTTTTAGTATTTTTTTATGTATTTCACCCACTTTTCGAGACTTTGATCCCTAAGGAAAAAGTAAAACTTGTAAGAATTCATCATTTGATTGCACTTAAACGTCATTAACGCCGTCTTGTTTGTTAATGCAACATGATCGTTTATTTCACCATTGTTTGCCAAATGAATATGATTAGTACTGATAAAATCACCAAAGCTTTTATTGTAAACGCGAACTTGGTTTCTCGGTAGACTACAGGGCACAGTAAAAAGTAATTAATTAACCAATGGACTCTAGCCTTTTGGAAACTTTAATTATTTTTAGTGAAAAACTGCAAGGGGTGACAGGTTGCACATCTATCTCTCTTATGTTAGAACAAGCATGTCCCTTGCCATAATTTTCCTTTCTCAGAGATACAGCACTTTAGGTGGTTCTTTAAAATTTTTGTCACGGTAGTGGTTGGTTTTGTCTGAGATTCCAGTTTTTCATTAAAGCTTCTTTTATAATAGACACTAAGGGCTGGTAATGTGTCACGAAAGGAAACATTTCTTTTTCTTCCTTGTTGTTTTGTTTCAGGAGAGCTGCCTTTCTTTCTGTGAGTTTTACTTCTAATAGCAATTTTTCTTTCAAAATTGTGTGACTAGCCTCTGTCCATCAAGCGCTTTTGAAATCTGACCACATAGTCCTCAGAGGAGTTTGTTCGTAGGATTCTCAAGGCTTCTCGTTTGTGCAACAAGCGCTTTTAATTAACAACTGGAGGATGATAAGAGGTGAAAATGTATATACTGTAAGGTTTCCGTTTGAAATGCGTCTTACGTCAAGGATAGCACTTTCTCATTTTTCGTTGAATGTTGTGCCTTGGTATACAACTGTTTCTGAAAAGAATGTCTCATTTTCAGATATTTCCGCCGTGAATTTCATAGTTCGGTGATATAAGTTTTACTTGTTCCGTGAAGAAAGCTACATGTCTGGTTCACTTATGTCCCATATAGGGAAAAAATGTCATGGTCATCTATGTAGCGTTTTTAAACAGTTGGTTTAAAGACGGTTTTTGCTTAATTAAACTTTGTGTTTCAATATATGGCGTGAAAATGTTGGAAACGAAACTGCTGTCTTTAAGCCCATCGCAGTACCATGGGTCTGTACTGATAGCGCTTTCCATTAAACGGGAAAGAATTTTCTTTGAGGATTAATCTATTGAGCACTTCTCGGACCGAAGCAAGAAACGTTCGGTTTTTTCACCTTTGTCCTTTCAATAAAATTTATAAAGTCGGTAGCGTCTTTAAGGTGTGACTTTGCGATTTTAATTGACTATAGCAATGTACCTGTATCAAAAAAAAAAAGGAAATTATTTCCGTTAGGCCATCTGATGAGTCATAAATTTAACCCTTTACGTCCCAATAGTGCTCAAAATCAATTTTCTCCTAACGATATCCATAGACTATCATGAGCAAAGTCTATGAGAATTAACAAAATGATCACAAAGAGAAAAATATTTGATCTTTTACCAAATTCTCTCTCATTCTTCAAGGAAATGTATGGAGATCAGTTTGGAGAATTTGTATGTGGATATTGGGAATTAAAGGGTTAAAGAGGTTACTTACTTCCTAGAAAAAAATGCAAAATGCTCTTTTTTCTGGAAATAAATATTGATAATATCAGCCCATGGTTATATTTTTCCTGTCGGTAGTCGGTAATTTTTTAATCATTTTGTCGGTAGTCAGTAATATTTTTCGCCCTTTGTCGCTAGTCGGTTAACCCCATTCACACCCTCTTAAACGTCCATCTTGGCTCCTGACCGCTTACCAGACGTGAAATTGCGTAAAACAATTTCGAAATATCAGTCCTGGTATTGATGCCAAATATCACTACAAATCATGCTATTACCTATACAAATTACACTCGTAAACGCGTGCAATTACAAAGTTTTGTGCCAATGTAATGAACAGCTAGTGGACGACAAATTAAGAAATCTGGGGCGTTTTCCATTTACCAAAAACTTCCGGAAACTTCCATGGAAAGGTCCATCGAGTGAAGAACGTGTTCCATTTGACGAAAGTTCCATTCGTTTATGCTCTCGTTACCAAATTTAAGATGGTGGCACAGATATCGCCGCTGAATAGCCTGGAACTGGTGATTACATGTGTAAACTCGTAAATGGAACATGCATTTCCACGGAAAAGATTCCAACGGGAAAACAGGACTACCTTTTCAAAATTCCACTTATTCCCGGGAATTTTTAAGTGGAACGCCCGGAAAACTTGTGTTCTATTAACATCCCAACCGGAATTGCCGGAATTTCTTGGTAAATAGAAAGAGCCCTTGGTCACGTGGGTGACCATTACCACCATACACCCTGTGTTCTTTGAGAGTGACGTCTCACTGACAGTGGTTTTCATGGTGGGTCTAAATAAGGAGGGACATTCACGTGATAGCAAAACTGAGAAATCCTCTGGACCAGGTTATCTGAACAAGGGGTTCCTTTTAATTCTACAGAAACAGAACTCCACACACCTTCACAATCCTTGCAACACACCTTTACAATGCAAATATTTCGAGATGAAAACCTTTTTCAAAAACCTTTGTCTGACTAACGATTCGTTCCCGGACACTGATTAGCGGAGTTTCGAAGAAACCTAATTTACAGGCAGGTGTTCTGAAGCTACCGTAAAATTCTGGTAATAAGCCCCGGGGCTTATATTTTTCAAAGGCCCTTTTTGAGGGGCTTATTTTTGGAGGGGCATATCTATGGAGGGAAATTTGCGTTTCAAAATCGGTTGGGATAGCCTTATAGTTGGAAGGAAATTTACCGTTTTTGCTTTGTTTTACTTTGTATTTAAGGGGGGCTTATATTTAGAGGGGCTTATTTTTGGAATTTTACGGTGTTCTTATATCCCTGCCAGTTTTATTTACAAACGGTCCTTTTACTTACGTCACTGTGTTATAATAAATAAATAAAGACCGTTTATTAACCTAATTGCAGTAAAAAAAAAAACCTGAATTACAGGGTTATGGTAAAATTCGAAATTACTAAATTAAAAGTAGTCTTACTATAATATTTACAAGTCTGCTTAGTCAATATTCTAATCATTATACGCAAATGTTATAAAAGAACTTGAGCGTTGCCTGTGTGCGGCAGAAGCTCCTGTCTCCGTATACTAAGTAACGCGGGGAAGCGGTTCTCAGATTATATCTAATCACAGTTCTCGTATCCATAGGGGCCAAAAAAGGAAAAAAAAATGGCCTCAGAGGTCGAGACAACTTTGTGTCTTTTATACTACACGCGGTTATCACTTTGATATTTTGTGGCAAAGGCAGAATACTGACAATTAGTTTCCACCCGTTTTTGTTTGTTTCTAAAAGAACTCAATTTTGAAGTTTGCATCACCCTACCATCAATTTAATTTGATTAAAAACATTTTGCTCGTTGTTATTTTATTTCATCATCTAGAGAATATCATTCTCTAGATCAGGAAGTTCTGTAGATCATATCACTATCAATCGTTTTTTATAGTAGTTATCATATATTTATAGATAAGTTTTAGTTCCATCTATCTATCTATCTATCTATCTATCTATCTATCTATCTATCTATCTATCTATCTATCTATCTATCTATCTATCTATCTACCTACCTACCTACCTACCTACCTACCTACCTACCTACCTACCTACCTACCTACCTATCTATCTATCTATCTATCTATCTATCTATCTATCTATCTATCTATCTATCTATCTATCTATCTATCTAGCATTACTATTACTATTGCTCACCGATCCGAAAAAAATATCACTTTTAGTAAAAAAAGACGGCGTGGATGTTTGCATTCTGCATGCCAATCTGGTAAGTACCCTACGTTTGACACAGTGTGACCCTCCCTTTGAAAAATCCTAGCAAAGACCCTGAAGTTTGAATCATTTTGAATTTGGCAGGAGACGTAATCGCGGTGTTTCGGTGTCCGTATAATATATTAAAGAATTAAACAAATCTCAAAAGTTACTCGGCGGATAACATCGTCTTACCACTTCACTGAAGGTAAAGGACATCGATTTGCTATTTTTTTGTATATTAACAATAACTACCTGTCTTTCTTTAAACTTGGAAATAAACTACTTCACTTGAATTTTTTGAAAGAAGTATATGTTTTGATTAAAAAAAAAACAACCGCCCTTCTTGCCTTCAAGAATTGTTTAAGATCTCTATTCCTTAAAACTCCTCTCTCCCCACCCCTTGTGGTATACGGAACGGTGGAATACGGAACGGTGGAATACGGAACGGTGGAATACGACGGTAACGACGGCGACGCAAGAACGCTGTCATTTCCAAATCTGCCTTATGAATCAGAACCAGAAAATTGCGTCATAAAAAAAATTGTCTTTTCTCTTTAGAATTTACTGCAACATTCACTTGTGACAATAAAATGGAAATGTTTGCTGACGGTCAAAGCCTCGGGACTGACAGTAATTGGAGAAACCCCACCACCTACCTTGTACCAGGAAACACTCGAGTTCTGTCAGTAGCCGGGGAAGACTATGGAGGCGGATAACTCGGGATACTCGGCTCCACTAGCAACGGACTGGTGACTAATGAAACTTGGAAATGCAGCAGCGTTCTGTATCCCGGATGGACTTCCCCGGCTTTTGATGACCAGAGCTGGCCTTTGGCCAAAGTGATTGCCAACCATGGTGACAGTCCTTGGAATACAATAAACGGTATCGCAATGACAGCTAAGTGGATATGGGAGAACACCAACAGCAACACTGCTTATTGCAGACTAACACTACAGTAAAAAAAAGTCATGAAGAGATTGTTATTCCAAGCTAATTAATTGTTATTCATAATTTGCATCAGTTCTCTCGCATATAGCAAATAAAGTGATCCTTTCTTTGTTGCCTTAAAGAAGCTGTGTCACAAATTTTATCAACATTCAAGCAGCTGGAAACTGCCACCAAATTGAGTGAAACATAAAATGGCCGCTCAAAACGTTAAAAGGAGGTATCAATAACACAGTAAAAAACGAACAAAAATTGCAGTTGTGAAGTTTGAAAACTTTTTAGCCTAAGTTCATTCTTTCAAGGATACTTTGTTGTTAGCCTGCGAACAGCAGACGTTTCTCTTCGCTCATCGCCGTTGAGGGATGTTTCGCGAGGAGGAACGTCATCGACTCAGCGACAGAAATTCCATACTGATGACGCAAAATCTGTCCGAAATCCGGTCAGAGGCGCTAATTGGTCGACAGAGTAGTTTCATTGTTCTAGCTATTGTTTACGAATGACAGACAAAAGACAAAAGGCGGCAAAGGTCAAATGTAAACACGGTGAATATCTAACAAAACAGTCATAGGCGCGGATCTAGAATAAATACTGACCGATTTCCTATTCTAGGGAGGTCTGGGGGAATGCTCCCCTGGGTAATGTTTTGGATTTTAACCCCCCAAAGTCCCCTTTCCTGGGTTTCTGAGTCTTTCAGACAGGATATTCACTGACACTCCCAACCATTTTCCAGATTTCAACTTGGAAGGTTTAAAGTTTTAACCAAAAATATATCTATTATGAAATATCTGACCGATTTCCGTAAAACGGTGGAAACCGGTATGGATCCGCGCCCGAGTCAATATGTGAGGAATATAGTCTTCTCTAGAAGAAGCATTAATGAGTTTAGCTGGAGCTCACTCGCAGATGAACGCAACAGTTTTCCAAAATCGACCAGGAAAAACGTAAAATTGAACAAATTTGCATTTGGAATACCGGATTTATTATGTAGACATTGATTTACGTCATCAGCATGGAATTTCTGTCGCTGAGTTCCTCCTCGCTGAGTTCCCAGGCGATGAGCGAGGAGAAACGTTTGCCGTTCGCAGTCTAATTTGTTGTTTCTAAAGTTTGATCATCCAAGAACCGATTACCCGCCACCTGATTTGACATACTGTAATGCTTAGGAGACATATTCGTTTGACACAAAGCTGTGGTTTGACTTTCACAAGTCAGGCTGACAAGTCATTTTTTAAATTCCAGTGAGAAAAACGGACGTGTAACTAAAGGGTGTCAATATGGGGTGGCAGGTTTGACTGTTGACAGTAAAGTTTTTCCAATTTTGACGGCTGACGGTTAATTTTAGAGCTTTGTACGGTGTTGACAGTTACTAAGTGGAAATTAGTCCAAAAGTGAAATAAATATCAACTTCTTATATGAATTAATATTAACTGTTGTGGTTGTATTTTAGCGGTTGCTTGGTTTTTCACTTGCAAAATTTTGAAATATTTTCAGATATAAGCCGCAGGTTTATAAAGTATTGTAATGTTTAGATAGAGTGTTTTTGAGAAGCTAGGAACTGGTTTTTCCAGTTTAGAAATTCTTCAGGAACGGCTAAAATAGTTAGATTTTAAATACTCGGAAATTTTTTGATAGTTAATCTTACCCTGCATTTTTGACGGTTGACGGTAAAAAATATGAACCTTTTTTGAAGGTTGACGGCTTTTGAAATTTTTAGGCCGTTTGACGGCTGACGGTAACCCCATTGAGACCCTTTAACTAGCCGATTATAAACCAAACAGTGACTGATCCAGACCTTCAGATAAGTGGGAGGAGGGGGAGGAGGTCATCCAGACCCTAAGATAAGGGAGGTGGGGCGGTCTCAAAAATTTTTTTCGGCCTTAAGGGCCTCAGTTTGGTCTTTTGGCCCCCCGGGCCCCTTCCCTGGATCCGCCACTGCACAATGAACGAACTAGCCAGCCGTCACGCAGCTTCTTATCCTATCGTTGTCATTGAACCATCTTTTAAATTTCGAGCTAAAATTATTTGAAAATGAAAGAGGCCTCTTGCTTTTCTCAGACACTCACTGCAATGAAGCTGTAATAGACGTTAACAAGACTGACACATTTTGTATAGTGCTCGGAAAATTCAAAATATACAATAAAAAGACAAAATTAACCGGTAAATACTCGCTCAGTGATCTTGTGTTTTCTTGAATCTGATTGGTTTGCTATCTCGTAATAATGAGAAATACTATTCGCTATCGAGGGGAATAGTAGTTTTAAGGTCTTAATCAGAAGCGTAAGACTTTACGATCTAGAGAAAACAGCGTTGTGATCCAGTTTACGATTCCTTCGCTTACGATCAATTGAAAACTAGGTTATCAGAGTCGCAAGCAGAAGTGAATGAACTAAACCAATCACAAAGTGTGAGAACGTGCATTGTGATTGGTCCTTCCGCTTCGGCTTCCGTCTCCGACAATCTGGTTTTTACTGGATTGTAAGCGACGGACTCGTAAGCGGAGTCAGAAGAAAATGGAAACTTTTTGACTGGTTCTTGCGACCCCTATTCCGTCGCCCTTCTTATGACTCTGCTTACGACTCCGATTTTTGGTTTTCATTAATTAAGTTATAAGCGCTCATGCGACTCTGCTTACGATTCCGACTCTGACTCTGTCGCTAGGCAAACGAATAACAACTCCCAACGTTGTTGGGAGTTGTTGCGACCGTTTTTAAGTAGCTTGACCGGTTTCAAACTTTGCTAAACAACTTCCAACAACACATAACAACATGCCATTCAACAGGGTGTGCAAACGGCACGGCATGTAACATCCAACATCGTTGCGTCCGTTTGCACGGGGCTTTAGGAATATTTACCACTATTTTAAACAATTGTTAACTATTATAGGTTCAGCAGAAATACCCTCCAACATACAATACAATACAAGGTTAAGCAAGGGTGGATGAAAAAAAACTTCGAGAACTCCGCATTTCTGAAAAGTGTTCAAAACGTTTTTGATAAATATTCGACTTGGTCTGTTTTCTTCCCCATTAGAGACTAGATCGCTAATTTTTAGAATTTTTTGGCAAAACACCTGATAGAATCCTTTATGATGTGTTCTTTCGTGTGTTTAGGTTTTCTATAGAGTCTTTTAATGCCCTGACATGTTCATTTATAACATTTTAAAACAAGACGCTATCCTGGCACTGAGACGTACAAAACGTTGCTATGGCAATTTCCTAATTTCACATGTCAAAGTTTAAATTAACGCTCAAAAATTTTGCGCTAAAATTAGGGAGTACAATTTGATATTAGGGTTGAAAACATAAAGCAGCTCACCGACTATTTTCAACGTGAAACCTAAATAAACTGAGAGACTCTGTCCCAGCTTACAGGCGCATATGATGGCTAATCACTTGACAAGCTATCTGTGTGACAAGAATGGAATAATACCACTTTTAGAAATTGTTTGCCGTTAGTTGTCATTTTGGTGATGCTGCCGTCGTTACTTCATTCAACTTAGTAGCAGTACACAGAAAATTGAGTGGAAAACGAAATCTCGATTGATCCTATAATCTAGATCAAACGAAAACAAACCCCCATGGCACCTTAAGTCAGTACGAGAGCTCTGGGGAAGTACCAGTAAAAAGTTTACAAGACTCAAATGAATAGGCCATTTCTGAATTTCCTCAAGCGCTAGAGCGCGGCTACGTGCGAAGCCATTGATACGAATAATATTTTTTATTCTCATCATTTTCATAACAAAGGTAAAAACAAGCTGTCACAACTCGGTTGCCATGGTTATGTCAATGTTGAAGTACACGTCACGACGACTTCAAGATGTTCCCAGATAAATTTTAGGAAATTCAATAAGTTTAGTGGTCATAGCTTGAATGGATTTGAAGTTATTTAACTTTTTAACGAGAGGGAGGCTCCAAAAGCCCCCCCGGATCTAAATTGAAGCTAATTGGGTTAATAAACGCGCAGCTCCTTGAACGTCTTATGACCATTCATAATATTTATTTTGACAATTAGAATTGGCAATGCACACAAATAATTGTCCAATTCGAGCTAGGAAAATGCTAAATCCGTACATTATATATTAACAGTTAGTCTCCACAAACTCCAATCATGAAGTGAAATTGATAAATCTGTTGAAATTAGATCATTATCCACCACTTTTAAATGGTGTATATTTAATTTCAACAAATTTGCAAGTTAAAGCACCTGCTTGTTGTTTGTACACTCGTTTTGTTTTTAATTAGAATGGTCGGCTGAACAATTCGTTACCACCTGGGCTGTAAATTTGCATGACATGACTTTAAAATTTCCCATTTTGATGAGCACAAGTTACAAGCGGTAACTTGCGGTACAAGAAGGAAAGCTGGAGAAACATGAAGGTTCCCAGGCTTCACGTTGACGGTTTTCTCCTTCTGCTGTTATCTATTATGGCTTTAACTTCCGCTTGCGTTGACGGTAAATGTTCTGGTTTTTTTATTACAAGGATCATTTTTTCTGCTTTCCCAAACTTCTTGAGGAGTCGTATTGCGACGGTACATCTGACGTTGAAAATTCGTCAACTGATAATTCTAATTCTGCTCGTTGAGTCCAAAATTATGAAGGAAAAATTTTATTCATTTAGGTACAATGGGAAAAAATGAAACAACAAAAAATAAAAAGTGACACTGTTGAGGTCTTTTTCAAAATGTTTTTAGAGCAATTGGAAAGATCCGCTCCATTAAGATACGTCCGACGTTAGGAACATGAATGCAGTTGCTCGAAAATTATCAGTCTGATCGGTCCCAGACTGGGACTGTTTAGTTTTACTTCTTTCTTTTCACAATCGCCTTTTCCTCGAACAATAATGTACAGGTGCTTCGTAGCACAGGTAGAGCTAGGTGTCAACAGAAAATAGGGAATGTTTCACTAAAATGTTTTTAACTAAAAGTCTTCTTTTAACCAACCACTGACTGGGTTTTCAAATAAACCGACTAAGCAATATCGCATTAAGAGATGAAAGTCAGTTCATTTAAAAATCAACGTCCTTAATTCGAGGTAAATATAACACAATACTCTATTCAAGCTTTTTTCTCCGGGCTCAGTAACCTTTTTAGTGAGCGAAAAATTTTCATTTTCCATGGAAACAACTACAGTTTTGCACCATTTTGACTTGCTTTAAGGTGGCTGAATACGGTTTGGTAGGTTGTGAGTCGTTACTATTCATTTGGGTTATTTAAGACTCGTTGCCGGTATTAAGCTTAAAGTTGACACATGCAAAACATATTTATAAGGCATTACGTTTATATTAGGTTAAACGTAAGATTTCGATCGTTGCCATGGCAACATGGATGATTTAAAACAAGCTTCAAAAGGCTTATACAAATTCCAGTCTTAAGATCAACTTTTGAAATTGCACATTAGATTATAATAAGCAATCCTTATTTTTTAAAAGCAACTTTACCAATTGTCACAAACAGTTTTAGCTGTTTATATCATGTGAAATTGATTGTGTCAGAAAAATCCTCTGTTCAACTTTAATTTTCAAGCTTTCTATGGTTGAAGTTCGATACTTGACAAGAATTTTGGCAAATTTCGTTAAATTCCATTGAGTAGATTTTGAGATATGAAAGACAACAAAACAAGCGCTAGCATATTTACCCTAAGTGCGCATGCTCAACACTTGAGCACGTGCTGGGGTCACGCGATATGACAAAAGCGACGAAAACGGAACAAATTTCTTCAGAAACTTCTATGTCTCTCAGCTGGTCCTCGCATTCTTTCTAAAAAATTTCATTAGCTGCATACCTTCTCATGATAAATGTGTTAACAGAAGAGAGATAAAGCATTTCAAGGGGCGAAAACTCCGAGATTTTATTTTTATCTTCCTTAGAACATGTCAGTCTTTTACGCGCTCGGAAACAATCGCGTCAAAGAAATTTCTTAGCGCGCTCAACTTTGTGTCCAGAGAAACTGTCGTTCAGCCACTTTAAAACTCCAGCATTACAATTTAATGCTCACTAAGTGTCTCCTCTCCACGAGTTCTAAAACATTCCGCCCGTGGATGATCCGTCGATCCGGCTGGGCAGTTGAAATTAAGGCTACAGCTTTTGCGCCAGCGCGAAAACCATACCGGACAAAGCATCTGTTCAGACATAAGAGCGGTGGTTTTACACGGGATTTCTGTAACGAAGCGAAGCTACGCCTCGCCGATATCTAAAGTGGATGATCACATATACGGAGCACCTAGCGACGGTTTCCCTCTACATGCATTGAAAACACTATTTAGGCTATCAAGAGTAATTTTCGATCTCAAGAAATGCATTGGAACCCTGATAATTACTAACGGACTCCAAATGCCCTAGGATGACCGACCAGATACAAATTTTATAGCGCTGCTATAAAAAATGTTGAGCATTAATTTGGAAAAATTAGCATAACGTCAAAACAGTGAATGTTGTAACGCGGATTTTTGGCCGGTTCGTAGGCTAGATTCGACTTGAAATTTCAAGGTGTTGCAGTAAATCAATCTCAATGAAAGTATATACATCATGGAGATTGTTTGTTGAGGTTTAAAAAGAATTCTGTCAAGCCGTTTTAGAGATATACAGAAAAGCGCTAAAAGTCAAAATTTAGAATAAAGTTGTACTCAGACAGGTGGTGACAAAACAGGTTATTTTTCAGCATCGCAAGAAAGGAAATACACCAAAATTTACATGCATCGAAATATGATATTAAGCAGCCTTCAGACGCTACTTAAAATCAACTTGAGTCATTTAGAACTTTTTAATCAAACAATTTATCAAAAATTGAAAATATAAGGTTTTAAATATATTTACGTTTTATTTGAATTCAAACATACAAAATATTTTACTTTCCACGGAGGTTTTTCAGTAGCAGTGTCGGATTTTCATTAGCAGGTATAGATCGCGCGAAATTCGAATTTAATCTATTTCAAGGTTTTTTGTTTATTGTTGTCATGGTGATATCGATTTTACTAAAAACTGCATTTGGCAATCTTCAATTCATAGTTAATCACTGGTGAAAATTTGGTGGAGATCGGACAAGGAGAAAATCACTTTTAAGGCGATTGAAAACATCGGTATGGTCTGCGAAAAACTGTATCGAAACACCTTAAAAGCTGTCCAGTACAGTGTAAACATGGTTTAAGGCTCGTTTTTTTTTGACAAACCAAAAAAAAGAACATTTTAAGTCGTTATTTCATACTTTAATATGATCTATCTTCGCTGCGCCCCCGCCAAGGATAATGATAGGTGGCATTAAAGTTGGTAGTAAAACCATCACTTCAATTGAAAAATTCATCGATAGTCGTTTATTAAGAGTGGAGTAAACAATTTTTGGATACCTTTGTAGGCTCGCAGTAATTCATTTAGCATATCCATTTTAAATTGTTTCGTTCTTGTTTCAGATAACTGTCGTATACTGGCGTTCCCACCACCTTTCTTCTTCATTAACAAGCGTTTCGTGAACCACACTATCGGAACTAAAATTGTTGTTGATATTGAGACCTGCAAGCTGCAGTGTTACTACGAACACAACTGCGTGAGTGTCAACTATCACGTGAACACAAAAACATGTGAGCTCAACAACGCCACTCACCGATGGCATGATAACGAGTTCAAAACTGAAGATAATTACCTGTATCACGGAGCAGATGTAAGATTTTTCTTAATTTTTATCACTGCCAATCTTCCTCCTCATATTTCTCTTGTTCTTCCGTTTTTTTCTCCAGTTCGTCTTGCTCTTTAGTTCTTCTCGTTGCGGTTTTGTCCGTCTTTGTGTTTTTTCCTGTTCGTGTTCGTGTTCCTGTTCATGTCTTTGTCCGTGTTCGTGTCCGAGTTCGTGTTTGCGCTCGTGTTTGTATGTTCGAGCTTGAGTTCTTCTTGTTGTTCTTTTTCTTTTACAACAACTCTTAATCTATTTCTAATTTTTTTAGCTACCATTTTCTAGTAACAAATTTTATTTGAGCTCGTATTTGTTCTATGATATCTACCTAATCAACCGAAAAAACCTTTTTGTTAAGAGTGCCTGTGATGAGATCTACTGCTATAATGGCGGAACCTGTCAGTCTGGATTTACCGTGAAGCGATATCGATGCTTGTGTCCTTCTGGTTTTAAAGGAAAACGCTGCCGAAAAGGTAGGAAGTGTTCAGTACGTCACGTGTTGTTTTTTTTTATTACCGTATGTTCTAAATTTATAATAAATTGAGAAGAAACAAATGTCAACCTTCAGATAATACAAAAAATATGCCCATATTGTTTTTTGCAGACATAAACGAGTGTGTAACAGGAGAGCATAATTGTGATGCAAATCGTGCGTATTGTAACAACAGCAAAGGATCCTTTGCTTGTCTTTGCAAGCCAGGATATACTGGAGACGGCCTAAATTGCACAGGTAACAAAACAAAAATGTTTAGATATCAAGAATCAAACGACGAATAACAGTCATAGAGTTGAATTTATTTCCGAGAAGAGAAAACTTCGGTCAGAGCGAAAACACTCGGCTTCGTGGGTAAACTGAAAACGGAATCAACTTGCTCAGGTAACAATATCAAAAGGCCAAGGTATCTAAATCAAACGAAAATAGATTTAAGCATCGACTTAAAGACACTTCCAGTAGAGAGTTTACGGTTGATTTTTAAGTTTCATTTGCAGTCATGATCATAAACGAGTTCCAACCAGATCATGCAAATTGCAACAGGCCAAAGTATACAGTGTCTTCTTTTTGGAAGACATTAGGGCATGCAGGGAACGGTCTTAATAGCTGTTGCAAAGACATACAATATGCTTAACTTCTCCTCAATCTTCCTTTGTGTCCTCCCCTCGATCGACCCTCTGCCATGGTAGTTTAGCACAATTTTAGCCACATTTTCTAAATAACCAATGTTGTTGAGGTTGTAACTAGGAATATACGATTTTCTTTATCATTTTCAGATGTTGATGAGTGCACCCAAGGATCACATGACTGCCTTCAGAGTCTCGCGTCTTGCTCAAATACTGATGGCTCCTACTATTGCACTTGTGGGGACGGATATATAGGCGACGGGAGGACATTCTGCGGTAAGAATCACTGGTGCTTCAAATGGAGGGGTGATGGATTATAGTTAGTTGATAGCGCGTCACGCTTAATGGTTGCTAACAAAGTGCCGTGTTCTCAGCAAACCAACTCTATATCATTAGCTTCAGCAAATCTCCTCACACACGAGGATCATTTTGGCGAAACCTTTAATGGACTGGCATTATATGTATAACCAGCACATTGCTTCTTTTGATTCATTTGCCACTTACTAAAATTGCAAAATAATCAGAATACCCATGACTTAAGATCACTTGGCTTGCAGCATGGTGGATAGAATCTAGCGATCAATCCTTGTCAATATGGGATTTGACAGTTACTTTGATGTAGCATGATCCAAGTGATCTTGAATCATACATCAGGATCAACCAAAGGAACGAACCCAAAAAAAAGAAAAATGACAAGATTAGCCTCAAGAAGGCATGAGGCTCAAAACAACATACGCCTACCGCTTCATCAGCTAAAGTTAAGAAGCGAATTATAATTAGAAAAGGATTGGGGGAAATTTATGCAAGAACGAATTTTTTGCCTTGTCAATAAAAGTTGAAACACTTATTGAACTTTCAAGTGCTAGTCTGAACTTTTGTACTCATACTACCCGCGTGGAGTTAAAAATAAATTCTAAATCTGCCTATTAATGAATACATAAGGAAAGCAGCGGATTTTTCCTTCCCTTTAGAATTCAGTGCAACATTCACTTGTGACGATGAAATGGAAATTTTTGCTGACGGTCAAAGCCTCGGAACGGACAGTGATTGGGCAAATTCCACCACCTACCTTGTACCAGGAAACATTCGATTTCTGTCAGTAGCCGGGGAAAACACTCAAGGCTCTTTTCGCGGAATACTCGGCTCCACTAGCAACGGACAGGTAACTGATGGAACCTGGAAATGTAGCAGCAATTTTTCTAGTGGATGGAATTCCCCGGATTTTGATGACCATGACTGGCCTTTCGCAAGAGAGATTGCAGACCATGGTGACGAAACCTGGGGAAAAATACCTGGTATAGCAGAGACGGCTAAGTGGATATGGGCCAATAATAGTGAACGCACTGTCTATTGTAGGCTGAAACTGCAGTAAATCAAAAACGGATTGTAACATTGAATTTAACCAAGGCGGGAAAATGTGTAACTGTAGTCCGTTTTAACAGCACGAAGCGGATAGAAGTCAGTAGTAAACTGTAATATAAACTTAAATTTCATGGCTGCCCCAGTCACCTCTTTTAAAGATCCAGTTAATTTGAGTGTAAATGTACATATAAAGCACTTTTAAAAGAACTAGTTGAGGATACTATTTTTACGTCTCCTACTGGAGAAGGCACCGCTATTTTACATGGCCATCCGAGTCACGCGAAGCCGTTTGCATGCAGGACAAAGATAGTAGCTTTATTTCATTTTTCAGTACTGTTGTTGAAGACCCTGAGTATCAGTCCGGCCTCAAGAGAATCGAACCCACGACCTTCCGCTCTGCAGTCAAGGTGTTCTACCGACAGAGCTAATCCTGCTGCGGTCGAGTTCAGCACATTTTTTTTTTCGTCTTGTCAGGTAACCAATTCATTATGCGATGCATTTTAGCGAAACTCTCTGCTTGATGAAACGTTGCTCTTCTTATCCATAATATTCTCCAATAATTAACATGTAAGGATAAAAAATGTGCTCCTTATTAGAGAGACTTAGAACCACGTTTGTGAGAAGATGACTAATTTTTATGGTAAGGAAATAAATGAGCAAATACAAACTCTCCAAAACAATTCTTATTGATGAAACTGGGGGTAAATCTAATAAAACTTTCACAAGTTGACGATTAACAAGTTATAGTTTTCACACAACGTGACAACATTTCTTTATTTAACGTTTAGTTAGAAAGAAACTTCTCGAATTACTAAGTAAGAAATCTGGGTGAGGAGCAATAGGGCTACTTCTTGAAGTTAATTGTAAATTGTAAATATATATTTACCGATTTTTTGGAAATTTGTTTGAAAAAACTCAATTAGCAGTCTGAAGGGGGTGCACCGTAGAAATTGATGAAACGGCGAATTGCGAATGAATGACGTCCATGAAGATAAAGCTCTTTGAGGGAGGAATATATAAAGTGCAGAATTTGGCAGACGAAAGAAGTAATGCAAACAGACCTGAATCGTAAGAGATCCGGGTCTGTGCAAGGTTTCATATGCGAACTGATACTCGAAGAAAAGTTTTACTCAAACTTATAGGACTTTGTGTGGACATGCTTAGTTGGTGCCTGGGGGGGGGGGGGGGG